TATTTACAATAATATTATCACACATGTATTAATACTATATCTACAATAATATTATCACACATGTATTAATACTATCAATACAATAATATTATCACACATGTATTAATACTATTTATACAATAATATTATCACACATGTATTAATACTATTTATACAATAATATTATCACACATGCATTAATACTATTTATACAATAATATTATCACACATGTATTAATACTATTTATACAATAGTATTATCACACATGTATTATACTATTTATACAATAATATTATCACACATGTATTAATACTATTAATACAATAATATTATCACACATGCATTCATACTATTTATACAATAATATTATCACACAGTTATTTATTTTCTGCAGCCATATGAAGTCAGGATTAACAAAAATAGAGATCGTAGACTGTTACATATTCCAAAAAACCATAAACAATGCAATAACAGACTAGAGTTTGTAATTCTTACTTAATTTAACCCTAGTGCAGTTGGAGCAAGACCTTAACTTCAGATACACTGTAACGCTACTAAAGGCTTATATCGTTAAGTATTAATACTCTACAAATGTGTCACTCGATGTAAAAATATATAACTGGGTTAAAATATATAATACTGGACTCACAGTCCATTATGAAAGTTAAAACATATGATAAATGAAGGTCGCAAAAACAGCATGATTAATGAGTTCTGTAAGTACATGAGAAAGTAGTTCCATTATTTTTTTAAATCCAGCAATTTCTATGGTAGTTAAGCCTAACACAATTGAACCAGTAGATTATACATTATCATTAATTTATACCTATAAATCAAATCTGTTATCATACCATCGTAAATGTTTAATTGAAAATAAAATTATAATATTATAATTAGAAAACTGGTATGTGTATTTTTGTTTAAAATGTTTTATTACACAGTTCGCTAAAACACTCATATATAACAATTATATTATAAAGTATTAACTCTATGTTGTTGTGTTGTTGTTGTTTTTTGGGGGGGGGAGGGAGAACAGACCGATATTCCGAAACTTTCCGCCAGTAGTACTGAAGTTTGCTTTATTTTTTATTGTTATACGATTTTTTTATCCTATTTCTATAATAATATTACTATAATTAATCATCGTTATTATTGACTGTTATTATTATTATGAAAATTTTGACATAATTTTCAAAATATTAGAAAGCTTTAATTACGGGGAACAATAATATAGGCCTATGGAATGATTACAAATATACTTCAAAATGTTATCGGCTTAAGTCCCTAATATAACATTATATACATACTACTGTTTATGTAATATAACAACCTGAATGAACATTAGGCCTGCTTGAGTAATTGCTTTTACGTTCAATTTTTGAGGTATCGACCCTTCAGAATATCGGTCTGTAACCAGTTTTGAGGTTTTAGTAATATAATAGTGAATCGTTAAAGTATGAAGTACCAACTCTATGGTTTAGGATTTTATTAATATAATAATGAATCGTTAAAGTATGAAGTACCAACTCTATGGTTTAGGGTTTTAGTAATATAATAGTGAATCGTTAAAGTATGAAGTACTAACTCTATGGTTTAGGGTTTTAGTAATATAATAGTGAATCGTTAAAGTATGAAGTACCAACTCTATGGTTTAGGATTTTATTAATATAATAATGAATCGTTAAAGTATGAAGTACCAACTCTATGGTTTAGGGTTTTAGTAATATAATAGTGAATCGTTAAAGTATGAAGTACTAACTCT